ATACCTTGAACTCCCTATTTTCCCCCTTCTCTATTATTTCGTCGGCATACAAAAGCGCAGATTTGGCCAATTCTTTTATCCTATTGGCGACAACTTTACTAGGTTTCTCAATCCCCCAAACATTTCCACTAGTAATGCCTATGAACATTAATCCATGCTTGCAACTTCCATCCGATGCCCTTAAATTCTTAAACCTTTGTTTAATATCTTCAATTTTATTTTCGTTTGTACTATTTTTTAAAGAACTTTTGTTTTCTTCACTTAAATCCACAATCATTGCTTCGTTATTCCAATCCCAAGAAGATATCAATTTTAAAACTCGAAGAAACCCTACAAATCCACTACCAGGTCTATTCCAAGGGCATGGTTCTAAATAAACTTGTGAAGACAGACATTCAATCCATTCTTCTTCAACATGATCACTCAACATATGTGTACTAAACCATCGTTTTGTAAGTCTAATAGTCAATGACAAACTTGGCCACTTATTGCAAAGAGTCTGAATTTGTAAAGTATGCATTGGAATTTCTACAAACATCTGTTTCTCTATTTCTAAAGCTTTCGTATATGTATCTTTTTTAAGCTTACTAGATTTTTTATCATTAATTCCACGATCCAACAATGTTATTTCTCGTTCATTATAAATTCTACATCTGAACACGAATCTTGAATCAGAAATTACATCCATATATGCTTCTGAAATGATCATATCGCTATTATCTGCTACTACCGTAGCACAAGTTCCTGGAAATTGAAGTTCTAATTGTGATGCAAGTCGTATATAAAATGCAATTTTCATTTTTTGTATGGCTACAAGATCATCAGGCCATCTTGCAGAATGTTCAAATTGAATTATAATTTCAATTGGATCTATATAATGTGATATTTTCGTAGTTGTGAGAGCAAGTGGTTGAGGAATAAATATTGAAGTATATCTTAATGTTGGACTTGCAGCTCGAATACCAGAAAATCTTAAAGGAATATTTTCTAATGCCATAAATTGTTTAACTAATTTATCGTATGCTTGCATTACATCTCGAAATCCATTTGTAATTCCATTCTTATTATAAATACTTTTTGGAAGATTTGTTGAAGGTATAACAATTTCATTTAATTGCCCTGTAAAATATTGAATTCCTTTATTTTTTATTCCATAATGGAGATTAAGTAGATATTGGACTATTCGACTAACAATAAGACTGCGTTCTTCAATTCCTTTAACATTCCAAACCACACATTCTAGTATACTACCATCCTTAAATCTTCGTACTTCTGCTTTTTTTCCCCACAATTTTCGAAATTGTGAGGCTGCTGTTTCATCTTCAGGAGATGGTCCATAATCTATTAATCGATTTGATTGTTCAGGATTGAAAACAAAACCAATGTAGAGTTTTAAGTTTGAGGATAAATATGATGGTGGCTCTGAGGAAGTTGACCATGTTGGAAGTTGAGCGTAATTTATCGTTATTAAGTTGACACGATTGGTTAGACCTTGTTTGAGTTGTATAGGAATTGTTCTTGCGAAATGTATAAATGGATCATGGTAGTCTAACTTCTCCGAATTCGTATAGTTAAAATAAGAGGTTGGTATTTGTATTATTCTATATTATAAAAAAAATCAGATAATCGATAATGAGTTTTATATTAGTTTTTATATATGAAAAAAAAAAAGAAAAAGAAAAGATTATTATCTAATTAATATAAAACTTGCTTTGCAACGTTATCATATCTTAACTTAATATCATTCACTTTTTGTAAAAATAATGCTTCAAATCTATCC